GCCCACCAACCCTCTCTGAACCGTGATGGTGGGAGATACCGTCTTCCCGCCATTTTTGATGCACTCCTGACGTCATCACGTTTCCGACTTCCGGAAAGTCAGCGACTGCATCACAAATCTGACGAAGGTTGACGGGATCAGCCGAAAATTTATGGTGTAGTTCCCTTTTTGTGTTGGAACAAGTCAAACTCTTTAACTACAGATACTGTCTTTTTACCACAGAAAGGGACTTGCTTGGAGATTACATCCACTCGGAGGCCTGCACAGGAGGCTTGTTAGAAACTTGTTCCGTATCCAAAACAAGCCCCTCGTTGGACAAACCAAAAACTAGCGTTTAAGTACTTTTCGAAACCTAATGTCTAAGCTTCAGTGTTCCATCTGCAGTACCAACCTGTGCCGCCAGACGGCGGATGGTGCACATTTCACAGCAGCTGAGAATGGAGACCACAAAACCGAGAATGATCTCGAGCAAAGCCAGGAAGATGTTCACTGCATGGAGGCCGATGGAATGCGGTGTGCAGTCAAAAGTCTGGTAGTCCCTACAGGTAAAATTTCAAGTCATTAACTTGTGAAAATTAATATCTAGTCACTAGAAGGGCAACACTGGGAAAGCAAATACATTATGTTTTCCTGATGAACTAGCCTAGAAAACCACCTCTCTGGTTATGTTTAGTCAAACGCATTCATATACATATGGTGAGCAGCCCCTCCAACTCTGTCCTGCCACTTGCTACATAATGTAACCCAACACCACATTTCCGTGCCTGACCTCTTGACCTCCTGTCCATCTTCCCACCCATGTGTTGTCAACCTACTCTCAAGTTCAGTAATCCCCCTTTGTCTGACTTTTTAACCTGTCAGTCTTTCCCCTGATGACCCAATTGCTGTCTGGACACACAGACACACAAACATTAACTCAGCACCCAAAACAATACTTCCATTATCACGAATTCTCCTTACCCGAATTTAGGATCCAAGAACGGGTTCGGGTAGCTCACATTGAGTGCCCGAGTGGCATTGTAAGCGTCCCAGTCGAAATGCCCACAGAGATGGGGTACGTGGTGGTTCAGCACGATCCCCAGGGCCGCGAAGGCGATGCAGAGCACACACATCACGATGACGATCACGCCCACCACCAAGAACGCTACAACCTGTGGAGGGGAAATAAGTGACAAGGTGTTAATGTATCCAGAACCACTAGATCACAATACTAGAAAGGCCGACATTTGCTTTAGAGCAAATGCAGCAGATGGCTTCACCACATCCCCCATACCCATGATGGCTGCCAATAGTCTACACCCCCATGCAGCAATGGAACCTTCCAATTTGTGGTGAAGCCATAATTAATACAATAAATGATATTCTATGTTAATACTCACCAGGCATTTATTTGTTGGTTTCTTAGCGCTTAAAATACCCAGAATGCCTGCCGTAAGAACCTGCGGACACATAAAAATAAATGATTGAAGTTGAAAGTTGAAAGGTAAAGGTTAAAAGTTCGGTTCAAGGTTCAGAGTAAAGGTTAGAGAATGTCAAGGTTCAAATGTTAAAGGATAAAGTTCAAAGGGCAAGGGATAAAGTTGAAGATTGAGTGAGGTTAAAGGTCAAGAATGAAGTTGAAAGGTCAAATTTGGTGAAGTTAAGGTTAAAGGTCGGAGTGCCTGACCCACCAGCAGCCCGCTCCAGACAGGTGCGCTGAAGAAGTGGAACGGGGTGCGGTGGTCGGCGAAGGCGATGTCGGCAGCGACCCCTAGCGTCACACTGAGGCATCCCAGGACGACCAGGGTCCAGCCCAGTCCACGCACCACGCGAGGTTCGTACGCGCACGCCATGACAACTGTGCGGTAAACAAAGTACAAGTCTTAGCATGAAATTTCATCTGTGTTGGTACAAATCATTATGACATTAAGACTAAACTTTAACTTCCAACACTCTATATGTAGAATAATTGGGACTTACCCCAAATTTTCGGCTGACTCCGTCAACCTTGTTCACGGAATGGACCCGTCCACTCTTGGAACGTGAACAAGGTTGACGGAGTCAGCCGAAAACTTGGGGTAAGTCCCAATTATTCTATATATAGAGTGTTGGAAGCTAAAGTTTAGTCTTTATTTCATAAAGTACAAGTCTACAGAAAGGCAACAAACATGCCCTAGGATCTAGCCTGGGTACCATCCTACTTGTATGCCGGGGCTCCCACACTCGCTTCCCTAAGAAGTAAGGGAAGCGAGTGTACATGTGGGAGCCCCGGTATACAAGTAGGATGGTACCCAAGCTACTGGGATCGTCCTGATCAAATGAACAAACAAACAGACGCGATGATGGGGTATCGTGTGTTCCAGTCATTTGCCCTCGGCTCACTCCCCCTAGCCAATTTCTACTATCCCTAAGGCCATGTTGATTTGATTATATGGATGACATCCTCCGGGAGCCCGTAAACTGATGCGCGCGTGCGAATAAAAAAAAAGTTTTGCAAAAATAAAAAGTTCTTTTCATTATGAAATCTACGTGGTCATGAGGGTTGAGCAAATGGCACAGAATATGGTTTGGCGAATAATCTAGTCTTCAAGTTCATTTCTTTACAATTTCGTATTATTTCGTTTGATTTTGGCATTCTACGACATTGGTATAGTTTTTATTAATTTTTTTGTAACTTATGGTATATTTTTGCTCATTTTGCAACTGTTTTGTACATTTACAGTATGGTTAAAAACTTTTTTTTTTGAAACGGCCGAAAATTCATGCGCGCGCGGATGTCATCCATATAATCAAATCAACATGGCCTAACCCCGGAGACTACAAGCTACGGGCCGATGAAATTACCCTGCAGGAAAACTGTCTGGGTCGATCATAACTTGATTCCCTATCTGTGCTGGTTTCTCGGAAGTCCCTGAGCCTGGCAACCACCCAATTCA